GAGTTTCTCTCCACTGTTTGGATGTGGCTCATGCCGAGTGAGTCTATGGCCTTTTCAAGACAATCCTATTCTCTCTTTGTCATACCTGGGAGTTTCTATAGGGACATCTTGCCTCTTGATCCAATATTTCCAGGTGGATTAGACAAGTCCTCACCTGAGCTTACATTCTGAAAGATGAGTTTCCTCCCTTTCCTGTTATGGAACACTCTATACCAAATCTTTCTGTGCTGCATAGAATGTTCAGCATCAGGCTACCATTTCTCAAATTTACAAACTGAAATAGTATTGCTGTGTCCTTGCATTGAGCCTGCATTGAGCAACCCAGATCAACACAGCTCAAAAGCGCTAGATGTGAACAAGCACTAAATTGATAGGGATGATCTAGAATCTACACCTCTAAAAATATGTTGGCTTGTATGTTTTCATCAGGACCAATTTTCTTTAAAAGAGAAGTGCAGGAATGTAAAAAAAAAATCATACTCAATTAGATGGCTGCAGCATTGATTCGATGAGTTGAAGGTGGACAGACTGTGGAGAGGGCTTCTCCTGTGACCCATAGGAGAAGTATGGCCAAAAAAAGCTTTGGCCGTACAACTCCTTTAAATCTAAACCTTAAAGCTGAAGTTTAGCTAAAAACATTTTTTTCTCTACAGCTTTAGTTACATTATTCACCTATAATGAGGGATGTCCTGGTTGCTGGATCCTTTCGAAATCTTTACTGCAGGGCTACTCTGTCTTCTTTCTGCTGCTGAATTTCCAGTGCTGTGGGGTTTAACAGCTTCAGGTCACTGGGCTCAGTTGTACTAATGATGACCCAATGGACACACTTCCTTTCCTGCTCTCTCCTCCACTAAGAAAAGATCTTTCACTGAATCCGCTAAATGTAATGTGATCTGTGAATGGGGGAGAGTCTGATCACAGGATTTTCTCCCCCATTCACAGATCATGTTACAATACCAACTCTACAGATGCAGGAGCAGGCGTGAGCTTGTTTTAACCCTTTGATATTTATATACATACCACAGTAGACAAGGGGTTAGGTCAACTAGCATACGTGGCCTTGAACGTCAAGATCAGCCATTTATCACAGCAAAAATTCTACCTTTACACTCGAAATGTTAAAACATTTATCAAAACTTACAATGTATCATTACATTACATTTCACTGGCCAACATTCTACTTCAGGTTGTTATTATTTTACAGGATTTATATGGTACCAACAGTTTGAGCAGCATTCTACAAAGTAAAGAGATACAACACAGTTATAATCAGGGTTTTTTTTTTCAGCTAGAACTTCACCACCTCTGGCTCAGGCCCTCTGCTCCCTGCTCACCATTATTACCTGTACATACAGAAGTCCGGCTTCTGTGTTTGCAAGTGACAGTTGTCTCCCAAAAGCTCCCACAGATCTGATCTATTGAGTGGCTGCCACTGACTGCAAGATGGGGACAAAAGAGATGCAGGTGGTTGAGTTCTGGCACCTAATTTCTGAGAACAAAAGCCCTGGTTACATTACAATTCAATACAGGAGGAAAGGGCCTGGCTCATAGGCGTTTACAGTTTTTAAGCCACAAAATTCATAATCTTTTTAAACACCAGAAGCCACCAGTTGGTATTCATGTACAGTGCCTTGAAAAATTATTCATACCCCTTGAAATTTTCCACATTTTGTCATGTTACAATCAAAAACGTAAATGTATTTTATTGGGATTTTATGTGATAGCCCAACACAAAGTGCTACATAATTGTGAAGTGGAAGGAAAATGATAAATAGTTTTCAAATTTTGTTTACAAATAAATATGTGAAAAGTGTGGCATGCTTTGTAGAACCACCTTTAGCTGCAATTACAGCTGCAAGTCTTTTTGGGGATGTCTCTACCAGCTTTGCACATCTAGAGAGACATTTTTGCCCATTATTCTTTGCAAAATAGCTCAAGCTCTGTCAGATTGGATGGAAAGTGTCTGTGAATAGCAATTTTCAAGTCTTGCCACAGATTCTTCATTGGATTTAGGTCTGGACTTTGACTGGCCCATTCTAATACATGAATATGCTTTGATCTAAACCATTCCATTGTAACTCTGGCTGGATGTTTAGTCTTATTGTCCTGCTGGAAGGTGAACCTCCACCCCAGTCTCAAGTCTTTTGAAGACTCTAACAGGTTTTCTTTTAAGATTGCCCTGTATTTGGCTCCATCCATCTTCCCATCAACTCTGGCCAGCTTCCCTGTCCTTGCTGAAGAAAAGCATCCCCACAAAATGATGCTGCCACCACCATGTTTCACAGTGGGGATGGTGTGTTCAGGGTGATGTGCAGTGTCAGTTTTCCGCCACACATTGCGTTTTTCTTGTAGGCCAAACATTTCAATTTTGGTCTCATCTGACCAGAGCACCTTCTTCCACATTTGCTGTGTCCTCCACATGGCTTCTTGCAAACTGAAAATGGGACTTCTTATGGGTTTCTTTCAACAATGGTTTTCTTCTTGTCACTCTTCCATGAAGGCCAGATTTGTGGAGTGCACGACTAATAGTTGTCCTGTGAATAGAGTCTCCCATCTAAGTTGTGTATCTCTGCAGCTCCTCCAGAGTTATCGAGGGCCTCTTGGCTACTTCTCTGATTAATGCTCTCCTTGGCTGTCCTGTCAGTTTAGGTGGACGGCCATGTCTTGGTAGGTTTGCAGTTGTGCCATACTCTTTCCATTTTTGGCTGATGGATTAAACAGTTCTTCGTGAGTGTCACAGATTCCCCACACGCCACGCCCACAGCGACTAGCTAACCGAGGCACGCACGTGCAGCCGTGACTTGGGGTAAGAGGGAATAAAGGGGACTGAATATATAAAACCATATATAAGACCAGCCGTGATGTACTTCCACAGCCCGCACTACCTTTTGGCCACCACCAGAGGGAGACTCCACTCCAATCCAGCTGGCTGACCACACACTGGCAGATACAAATCTTATATACAATCTGGTGCACTGATTAGAGTTGAGGAGCAGCTTAGCAATCACACACCCTTCTAGGGTCCCTTCAACTATCCTACAGATAGAACCCCGGTGTTAATCACTCTTCCACTGTCCACACCCCCCCACACCAGACACACCACAAAAGGTAGCCTGCCACCACCCAACAGTTTATTCGCAGAACAGTCTGTTGAGACACCCCACACACACAGATCTCCGTCTGGCAGATCTGTTACCTTTTACAATCTGCACGCAATCTGCCCACACACAGTGCAATTACATACAGATTGGCAATGAGCTTCACCGAGCGTTTAAAGGCACTAAAATACAATACAATCTAATCTCTCCAATCTAATGTCTCCGAAAATATGAGCCCGTGCTTAAATACACAGAAGTCACTAATTAATTTTAAGATTTAATATCCCGAAAGTGGGCAGTGCATAAAATATGTACAAAGTATGAAAAGTTACAAAAAATACAAGAAGACAAAAAAATGACTATTCACTGTAAAATAAAAAGGGAATAAAACAGAATAAAACTTTTACCAAGATCTATCCTGCGACTGGAGCAAGTCAGAAAAAGTCCATAATCCGTTAGTCGATCGAACCAGCTCCATACGAATTACCATGCCCCAATGTCCAGGTACTCAATTTATGGGGATATGGATGTAGGCGGGACATTAGTCATCGGCCATTTGACCCTGGGCGTGTTCCTGTACCCGCCCACAGGATGTTCTGGGTGCTGACCTGCCCAAGGTCAATCAGACCAAGACCTGCTTGGATCACCAAGTCGGGGATTGGATTTCCAACACCAGCGCATCAGCACGATCGCGACAGTACCAATCACTGTTCGACTGTCGTGATCCAGAGCCACATAACCATTTTCTGCATTTTCCTGGCCTTCTACTTAAGCCACAAATATGTTTTTTATATGTTGGTGTGACCCACAGAGTGCCCCATCAGAGGGAAGCATTTTCATCTCTCTGCAACTAATATTTTAGCTTTTATCAGAGATGAAACATTTCCTTTGATGTATGTATTTCTTTTAGAGCTCCCCAGACAGATTGGAGACCTCCTACTGTCATGAAGCTGAAATGTCTGCGTTTCTCTTTTCAGCTTCAGAAAGGTGGCCAAGTCTGATTAAGTATAGGTGACAAAATCTTATTAGCACCCAGGCATCACTTCCAGCCTGAGGAAGCTGCTCTGTCTCTTTTCAGGTGTTAATTGATGACCATCTGTCTGAGTACCTATGACTGAATATTTCTTTAATAACAAGGAATGAACTAGATTTACATTGTCATATTCTCTACAGGTCACATCTTATCTACTCAAATCTGTACATTCATGTCACATGTATGTCACAGTGAGATATTCAAAGCTTTGGATTTTTTTTATAACCTAACCCTGCTTTAAACTTCTCTACGTTATCCCTCACCTGTCTGGTGTGTTCCTTGGACTTCATGATGCTGTCTGTTCAATAATGTTCTCACAAACCTCTGAGGGCTTCACAGAACAGCTGTATTTATACTGAGATTAAATTACACACAGGTGGACTCTATTTACTAATTAGGTGACTTCTGAAGGCAATTGGTTTCACTGGATTTTAGTTAGGGGTATCAGAGTAAAGAGGGCTGAATACAAATGCAAGCCACGCTTTTCAGATATTTATTTGCAGAAAGTTTTGAAAACCATTTATCATTTTCCTTCCACTTCACAATTATGTGCCACTTTGTGTTGGTCTGTCACATAAAATCCCAATAAAATACATTTACATTTTTGGTTGTAACATGCCAAAATTTGGAAACTTTCAGGGGGTATGAATACTTTTTCAAGACACTGTATATATACTCACTAAATCTGTATGTAAACATTACATATATCACTGTCACATTCATCTTCATTTAGTGAATGGGTCTCACAGGGTAAAAGTAATACTATACCAAGCAGAGCATCAGAAAGCATCACAACTCCACCTAGTGGAGAAGAGCGGAGTGACAAGTCTTTATCACATGGACACATTCTGTGTAATGGCAATGTCATGTTACTTAGTATTTATATGATCACGTATGTGTGCATAAGTTAATGGTTTTCTAGAATGTGTTTGGCAGGACTTTTGACCAAAGAGAGGCCGGTTAGAATATTTTTTTGGCTTGGTTGTGCGATTCTTCATCTTTTTGCTAAGTGAAGTGAAAAGTTCATGTTTCTTCGCCTCCCAGTCCTCATCCACTTCATCCAAGGGGCTTCCTTCCAGCTCTGCAGCCAAGCGATAATCTCTGCATTCCACCTCTGCTCTGAAAGTAAAATTATGACATATAAGTATTATTAAAGTGATATTGAATCTAACATTTTTGTTTGCCTATTATATAAGAATTTATATAAGAATTTAAAGAATATGTAAACCCAACATTTCATATTCTTGATATGTGCCTACTGTACCAAGTACTTGTATGAAAAAGTATCCTGTTCTCTTTGTATTGATTCCTTTGTGTGAAATCCCTGGTGTTCCTGCCAGTCCTTCTGATTTCCTACTAAAAACCTCCAATGATCAGACTTCTGCTAACAACCCCCACCCCTGCATAGCCATTTACTGGGAAGATCAGTGTATGCTGTTTCTCCTGTCTCCCCTCTCTATGCTGTTGAGAACAGAGGCTATATGATCAGTTATATAAAAAATAAAAAAATATATATTTAATTTTTTTTTATATCTATACACAAATGTTTTGCCTTTCATTTCTATTTTAAACTGAAGGGGTTATTTTACAAGGTGAGTGTTTGCATACACTTTAATTGATTAAGCACTGATTCATACCAGTTCCGAAACTGCACCCTTAAAAAGATATTCCTGCCAGCCCAGGCCAATGATGTCACTCGCGCATGTGCATTTAACTCTGCATTCATGACACACTGCCGGTGCCGTGATTGCACAAAGTGCCGTGCTATGATGGTGACTCTCATGCACATGCACGGAGGGGATGCTGTCACAGCCCAGCTATTAAAGTGACAAGAGAGTGCAAACCTGGAAGGAAGACCAATCATCTGTTGAATTGATGTAATGTTATGATCTTTGCAACTGTGACACTGTAAGGATAGGATGGTGCGCATTAAGTCGAGGAGGTTCTATGATCACTGCTTGCTGTTATGGCCGCCAGCAGTGATTGAACATACAAAAACAACAGGCTGGTAGTACTAAAGTCAATCAACAGATCAACTTCAGTACAAAATGCCTGCCCGTACATGGTGGGCAGGCTATTTAGGTGGGTTGCCCTCTCATCCCTTTAAACCCGAACGCATATTAATTCCACAGGTTCTGTGGCTCATTAACGTGGTAATTAAACTCACTTAGTGCCTTATCTGCATTCAACTAGCCTCAGAACCCATGTAAATAGTATGAGTTTGGGTTTAACCTCCTCGGCGGTATGATTCTTTCCGATTTTTTGTGCTGAAAGCGGTACCATTTTTTTGCATGGAAATATGTAGTTTTTTATTGTAGGCTGTAAATTTTAGGAATAACTCACTGAAATCTGTACGAACAAGAGACTAGTAAACATTCCGGATATGATAAAACTTGAAACACAAAATCATAAATTATAATTTATTAAATAATCATAAAGAATAAAAATATAATAATATAAAAATTTAATTCAATAATATAATCAAACCAAAAACACTGAAATTTGAAATACAGAGGCAAATTCGCACATCGCTGAGCAAAGTCGCAAAATCGTTTTCAGTGTCTGATGACGAATTTCCCACGAATCATTATCACTCAATTCTGCAAGTGGTTCTGATTTACTATCGCTGTTCTAAAACCGCTTTTGATGTAAAGGGACGCTTTTTGGACACCATGGACTTTTCTAAGTTTCCAGGCAGAAAGAACATTCAAAATGCAGGCAGGGCACAGGACAAAGCAGTAGGGACAAAAATATGTGAAATGCATTGAAACAGCAATGACAGCAAAAATGACATTTTTTAAAAATTTCAAATTTCCCGCAAGGACCGGAACACGGAAGCTGGATGCTGGCATCGGCTGGAGGAGATGGCCGGGGACGCTGCAGGGGACACATCGCGGGAGCGAAGGACAAGGTAAGTGCTGCAGGGATCCCCTGAGCAACGCCGCATGGTAAGTCCGAGTGTAGCTCAGGGTTACCGCTCTTGGTACTCAAATTTTACCCCGAGCTACACTCGGGAATACCGCTAAGGAGGTTAAAGGGACGAGTTCACAAACCTAACATGGATCAAAACTTGGCCAGTTCCTGCTGGATGGGATGAATTTCAATCGGCTTACTGCAGGTTTAAATACCCTCTTCAATTCTCACAAATTGCAATTCGTAACAGCATTCAGTATGTTAGTATGACCTCCACCATATCCCAGACTCTCACTTTAATACACAGAGATCTATATACAAAGGTCAAAAGTGTGTTTCCTTTAATGCTGGAATGAGGCAATCTCCAAGGATGGAAAACTGTGGCTCACATCAGCTGCAAGGATCATCGCCCAGATGGAAGACTCAGAGAAAACAAACACAGACCATAGTGCTCTCCATAAAATCAAATATGTGTTACTATAAATCAGCCAATTTTTTGTAGCACAGGCTGCTACAGTGAATTTATGCATCCCCAGCCCACATCCCAATAGAAGATATGAAAGATTAGATGTAACCAAGCTGGACCAATGTAAGTGTAATCAAGCTCAATCCTAGGTGTCAGTCTTAAGGTTTTGAAAAATGCCTCCACTTCACCAGATATGAGACCAGTGGGATGTATGGTCCAAGTCTAGCTTAGTTGTACAATAACATTTCTCTTTCTGATCAAAGTGTAACTTTAGGCAGTTTTCAATTTAGATAGAGTAAGGGAGGGTTATAATCTTGCCAGTTTTTTTGTTTTTTGCCATCTGTATCCCATTGGGGAGATTTCCCTTCCCTTCTTGTCCCATAGCCACGTGACAGGAAATCCCCCCAAAGTGGGGGAATCCTGGCATGACACCAGAACCACCAAAATTTGCATTCTCATTAGAAGATCTCTCTTCTATTACTATTCTGATGTCAACCAAAAATTTGGGATTTTCTTTTAAGTTCACTTTTGATGATAATGGTAAACAGGACAAATAGAGAGGATTACCCTTCCTAATGGGGGCACAGACAGCAATAAAAACCTGATTGATAGTCTAATCCATCTCCAATCTATGCAAAACTAAAAGAAACTATTTAAATACTTTAAGGATCCAATGTTATTTTATTATCCATGACATAGTTACATAGTTAGTCTGTCTGAAAAAAGACAAAAGTCCATCCAGTTCAACCATAGAAAAAAAAAAGTTATAATCCTATACCCACAGTTGATCCAGAGGAAGGCAAAAAAAACCCCGCAAAGCATGATCCAATTTCCTCCTGCTGGGAAAAAATTCCTTCCTGATCCCCCGAGAGGCAATCGGATATTCCCTGGATCAACTTTACCTATAAATGTTAGTATCCAGTTATATTCTGTGTATCGAAGAAACAATCCAGGCCTTTTTTGAAGGTCCTATGACAGTCCTATAATTCACATAGACATAGATATAATGAACATATATACAGCACATAAAACTTACATCTCCAGGAACTTCATACAGTCTCTATGACCGTATATCTCTGCAATTCTGCGAGGGGTGTCGCCATGTATGTCTGTAGCATCAATGGGAGCATGCAGTGAATGGAGAGTACGGAGAACGCTCAGCTTTCCCGATTCTGCTGCAAAGTGTGCTGGAGTCCAACCAATGTCTGTCCTGAGACAAGGCCGAGCACCATAATCTATCAATAGCTTCACTGTATCAGACTGGCCTGGTGGATTCAAAAATAAAGTTTTCTGAAATAAGCAAACAGTAATAATAGGTCTCCTGTCTAACCTGAGACACAGAATATTGCTTAGAAAGTATTGAAAACTAATAGCAATTAATAGACAGCCCAGGACCTGAGAACCAATTACCTTTACAATTCATGCCCAGTTTTCCCTATACTGTACTAGCAATTCTCAACCTTATTGTGACCAGGCCCGGTAAATTCTTCCAAAACCTTCTATGGTCCCACAATACAAAAAAAAAAAAGTTTATACTTGTACAATAAAAGTATGGGAATACAAAATATGTATTTAAATTCTGGAAGGGGCCAAGGGTGGGTAATGGATGAAGAAAGCACTGTCAAGAATAATGTCCAGTACCTTTGGCTGCAGCCCAGTGCAAAGCAGTCCGGTCATTCCAGTCAATGTCCTTATAATTTGGATCATACAACTCCTTCTTCAGGATCTCAGACACCAAGTCATAATCCCCAAGCGCAGCTGCTTGATGGAGTTCAGTCACATCAGCCATCTCAAAGTTTTCTGCCAAAACAGAGTTTTTGAAAAGAAAGTTACTATTTTTGGTTTTGATAACTGATTATTTCTATATATTGCCATTTTCCACTACAGTTGTGTCTTCTTTTAAAGATAGTTCCTTTATTCAAATAGAACCCTCCTTGCCCATTAAATGCATACTGCAAGGTAGGACTGTGAGATTAACAGTTTCATAATATGCCCATTTAGCCTCAAAATCTCTCTAGGCCATACATGGATTGAAATTTGGCCAGTTCAGCAGGGACCAGACAAATTTTGACCAATGTATGGCCAGGATCGTTGTAAGGTAGTTGATCTACCGATTGACTTCTGTACAACCACCCTGTTGGATTTTTTCTGCTCAATCACCGCTGCAGGCTATAGTCTGCAATGCTGATCAGTATGTTCTGACATACAAAAGAACAGTAGAGGGATTACCCCATCCACCTTGAATTTTTTTCTTTCAACCTACTAGGCTGAATTAGCACACATGGCTCGTTCTCAGTTCAAAACCATGCTGGTGTGTTTTTTTTTATCACAAGGGGATACTTCACTATGAGTTCATAAAACATGGTACAATGTTCAAGCAACATTGTTACCTGGAAATTCTGAAAAGGTTATAGGAATCTGTTTGGAAGAAAAGACTGGAACTTTGGTCTTACAAGTGGATTCTTCACCACCACTACAATGCTCCTCCTCATGATGCGTTAAGTGTTTGACCAACCACTTTATCCCCCCTGTCTTAGCACCCTGCGACCTTTGGCTTTTTCCAAAATTAAATAATGCCTTAGGGCTCATGTACACTGCAGCTAATAAACTGACGTTCAGGAGCTTTTCTGCATTTTTTTATAAGCAGCCCCTGAACTCTCCCTAATGTTTTCCTATGTGTCCATGTACACATCGTCATTTACAGGCAGTTGAGTTTGCAGTCATTTTTTTGAACGCACCAAACTTGCATTCAGGAGTAGATTTTATCAGCGTTTCAACGCCAAATGCTTGTAAATGCGGCTAACCGCTTTTATAAGCATTTGCGTTTAGAAGTGTTTTTTAACTGTTCCATATCCAGCTGCTGTCCAGAGCCTTTTTTCATCATCATAAATGCAAGCAAAGTGTTTCCCATGTATTCTAATGGACCCGGTACACCAGCTCAGTCAGTTCCAGGTTTTGTGTGAAGGAAAAAAAATGGTAGTAGAACGTGCCGCATTATGCTCATGATGGGATCCATAGTGAATACAACCAGAAAAGACAGGTCATCTCAACACATACTGCTCTCTCTGCTTCTGCTCTCTCTATTTCTCTCAAAATGTCTGAAATAGTTAATTTTTTACTGTTTTTCAGTGCATTCTGGGCATTAGGGAAGGTCTCCTGAGGTTATCTTAAAAACGCTTCTAAACTGCAAATGCGCATAAATGCGGTATGCAAACGTGGCTAAACAAACGTTTTTTAACCTACGTTTTCCAGAGGTCAGTTTCCATCATTCAGAAGAGTTTTCCAAACGTCCCGTGTACATGAGCCCTTAAAAAGACAAAGATTTGATGACATTCCTGACATTCACCGCACTGCGACAAAGATACTGTGCAGCATTCCGGGAGACAAACTCCAGGAATGTTTCCCACAGTAGCACAGTCATCTAGAAAAGTGGACTATTTTGAAGATCACAACAGCCGCTAGTCTACAAGTAAGCAGACATTTTTTACAGATCATTCCAGGAATTCAATTGTCACACCTTGTATATATCTGCAGCTGCAACCCAGGATCGCTCTGTGAATCCATTGGATCAAATGCTTTAAACAAATGAGGTTTAATGTTGATAAATGTAAGGTTCTGCACTTGGGGGCTAAGAATATGCATGCATCATACATACTAGGGGGGTACAACTGGGGGAATCAATGGTGGAGAAGGATCTGGGAGTTCTGGTAGATGACAAGATTAATAATGGCATGCAATGCCAAGCTGCAGTTTCTAAAGCGAGCAAAATCCTCTCTTGTATTAAAAGAGGTATAGACTCCAGAGAGAGAGATATCATATTACCCCGGTACAAATCATTAGTAATACCTCATCTGGAATATGCAGTTCAGTTTTGGGCACCAATTCACAAAAAAGAACATTGGGGAACTGGAGAAAGTACAGAGAAGGGCAACCAAACTGATAAGAGGCATGAAGGAACTCAGCTATGAGGAAAGATGAGAGGAACTGAATGTATTCTCTCTTGAAAAGAGGAGATTAAGGGGAGGATATGATCAACATGTATAAATACATCAGGGGTTCATATAGTGAACTCGGTGTAGAACTATTCACCCTGAGGTCATCACAGAGGACAAGGGGGCACTCTTTACATCTGGAGGAAAAGAAATTTAATCTCCAAACACGGAAAGGTTTCTTCACAGTGAGAGCTGTGAAAATGTGGAAAAGACTCCCTCAAGAATTGGTTCTGCCCAGCTCAGTGGATTGCTTTAAAAAAGTCCTGGATTCTTTCCTAGATACACAGAATATAACTGGATACTAACATTTATAGGTAAAGTTCATCCAGGGAATATCCGATTGCCTCTCGGGGGATCAGGAAGGAATTTTTTTCCCAGCAGGAGCAAATTGAATCGTGCTTTGCTGGGGTTTTTTTTGCGTGCACTTTCAGAAAGTGCACCACGCCCACAAGATTTAATAGAAGTCTATGGCAAAGTGCAGTTAACCCACAGGAAAGCCGCAGGTGGACTGCGCTGCACCTGCGGTGCGAGTAACCTGCAGCGCATCACATTGAAAGCAGCCTTATAGGGGGCCCAGTACAATAAGGGCTCATTTACATTTGCCACTTGGAGGAAGTATAACTCCACAGTTGAGATGTGTTATTACCATTTACCCCCAATCATTGGTGTTGCGTCAGGGGTGGCAAGGGCAACCCCATCTCATGTTTCAGAGGGCCTGTTTGGCCTCTCTGTCATCTTATCTTTTACATTTGGACGGGAGGGGTGATGGAGGATGCATATACAAGAACAGATCCTCTCCATTTTCCTCCTGCAACTTCATAAAGCCCGCTTCTCCTCCTCTCCCTGCTGCCAGCTGCAGGAGTATAATGTTCATTAAAGCGGAGTTCCAGTCACTCTGTAAAAAAATAAAAATCAGCAGCTACAAAAACTGTAGCTGCTGACTTTTAAAAAACAGCCACTTACCTGTCCCACGATCCCGCAGTGCCCCCGCCGCAGCCCGTTTCACCGGTTTCACCAGGCGCCAGCATCTTCAGTGTCCGACTGTGACAGCTTGCGGCTTCACAGCCAGGTGCCTACTGCGCATGCGCGAGTAGAGCTGCGGTTCCTGAATGGCCCCGTCGGGGAGGGAGAGTAGGAGGACAACTTCTGCTTCCGATTGCCTAGTTGGTCGCAACAGAAGTGGGAGCGGGTAACTGTCAATTTCGGGTACCCACTCCCCAAAGGTGCGAGTCCTTAATGGGGAGCGTGGGACCAATCATTAAAGCAGAACTTCCCCTTTTGAGTGGAACTCCGCTTTAAAGTAGAACTATAGGCAAACCTTTTTATTTTCATTTAGGATAGAGCAAGGGAGGGTTATAACCCCTGTCAGTTTTTATTTCATCATCTGTGCCCAGTCGCAGAGATTTCCCGTCACTTTGCGTCCCATAGCCAAACAGAAAGTGAGAGAAAATCCTTGCAAATTAAGGGAATTCCTTGGGAACCCCCAAGTCACCAGAACTAGTGTCCCCATTGGAAAATTTCCCTTCTATTACTTTTCTGGGGACAACTCAAAATTTGGGATTTTCTTTTACTATCACTTTCAATGATAATGGTAAACAGGATAAATATAGAGGGTAAATCTCCTTAATGGGGGTACAGACAGCAATAACACTGACAGGTGTTCTAATTCCTCTGCACACTGTCCAAATTAAAAAGTTTTGCCTTTAGTTTTACTTTAAGCGATCCAAAATATAACATTTTAAGTTCTGAACTATTTATTTTAAGTGTGACCCAGGACTGGTTACCAATCACTTAAGTGGCCCTCGCTCTTCAAAAGGTTGAGTACCCCTGGGTTAAGCTCTCAAGCTTGTGATCCTTTAATCCATTGCCACCTTCTTAAGCTCTCTATAGATGGGTTGTTTTACAACTAGTAGGCTGATAAAAAACAAAACACTCAAATTCTCCCATCCACACAAGCTGTGGTCTGCAATCAGCCATTTACTATCCACTTAAGACATATTCATCACCCAGACTAGAATTTCTACAGATCTTCACCACTTTACATCAAAAGGACTCAGGTTGCCCATAAATTATCTGGTATTTACTTAAAATGAAGTTATGTCATATAATATTGGGTTAGGCAGGGTTACTCAACTCATGTGGGCTCCTCTTCGGGTGATGATGGGCTTGAAGCCAAGGAGCAAAGGACCCACCAACCAACCACACCAATCTCACCACCACCCTAAAATAATGGGAGTGGAGGTGTGTTCAATATAATTAATGATCTGTGACCTTGTTTGATTTCACTATTGTGGCTGAGGGTAATACTCTGCTCAGGGCAACAGCGGAGGCAGAGGAGCCATTCTACTCCACATTCCACACTTTGGTGCTTAAAGCAGGCCATACATTATGCAATTTTCTTACCTTCAAAAGAAATAAAGAAAACTGTTTGATTCCCCCATTGACACAGTCAGTGTTGATGGGGGAATTCCTCCTGCAGTGCTATTGTGTTCTGCTGGAGGGGAGCACCGGGAAGCTTTTGCACCGGCAGAATACAATGATCACTACCAGTCAAAAAAACCTGACAGGCTGGTTATACTAAAGTCTCGACTTCACCATAATCAGCCTGCCCATAGATTGACACAAAATTTGGGCAGCACAGTGGCTAAATGGTTAGCACTTCTGCCTGACAGTACTAGGGTTGTTGGTTCAAATCCCAGCTATGGCACCACCTGCCTGGAGTTTGCATGTTCTCCCTGTGCCTGCGTGGGTTTCCTCTGGGTACTCCAGTTTCCTCCCACACTCCAAAGACATGCTGGTAGGTTAATT